GAATACAGCAGCATCCCCTGGAATAGCAAGTATATTCGCATCTGGAACAGTTTCCTGGCTATCTGCCACCTGGTGTTAAAAATCAGTGGAACATATTTCAGGAATTGTTATGGCAACAATAAGCTTCTAGGCATCACTGTAACAACAAACACCCCCAAACTCTCATTATCTTATAGCAAGAAATATTTTTTATTCAAACACACTATATGCGAGCTTGTATGGCCTGTAATGCTTCTGGGCAATGCTAGGATCACATGCCTCATTATTTCAAGGCTCAGACTGAAGGAGTATCCCTGTGATGTGCTCTTCTCAGGGAAGACACTCAAGGAGGCAGAAGGGAAAAGCAAAGGCTCATTTAAAGTTTCTGCTCGGACACTATAGAGCTCACATCCACAGAGATCCATTAATTAAGCAAAGTGGGCAAGACAACAGAGTGGACAGGACAGCAAAGTGGACAGGAACCCGCCTACAGGAAGACACAGCAAGTGTAGGAAGGACAATTCACTGTGCACCAAGGGAACAGCTGACAGCGTGTGTGAGGTGGTGGACACCTCACCTTGTTTACAACACAGGAAGCATTCAACACATTTCAGCATTTATTTCCATTTTTATTTTGTTGAATTCTTACTATAACCCTAAGAAAAAAATTATTGCTGAAAAAATGATATTTCAGACTAAACAGTTTGCTTATTTTTTTTTCATAATAGCAGCAATAGGATTTAAATCCAGATATCCTGCCTCTATAAAAAAGGCATTTTCCACAACCACACAATGGGGATCCAATAGAAACTAATTACAGAGCTGACAGTGTCCTGTGGCCCAGAGTTCAATTGTGAGTCAGAAAATCTCCAGTGGACTAATCAAACTTCAGTTAGCAAATTTTGTAAAATTATTGTTCATCCAAGTATATAATTCTACACTTCAGGAATTATTTTCTCATTTCTTCCAAAATTTTAGCAGAAATTTGGCAGATAATAAAGCCTCCATATGTGGTAAGCAAAAGTGAAGAATTCACTAACTGGTACTTTTGACTAAAATTTAGTTTACTATTTCATTTTTCATAGTAAGAAAATTTTTACTGATCTTTAAGTCTACCATTATCTGTTTGTATTAAAGTAATGAATTAACCTTTTCATCTAAAACATTTGTCAAGCTTGAGAGTGTGCTTGGAAAGATTTGTTCTCTAGGACCTGTTCTCATCAGATCCTGATAAAATGTAGATTGTGATTTATCAGACAAATGATACAGCTATACACAATCCCAACCCCAGGCCCATTTATTTCAGTGATGGTGTAACTTTGCTAGGACTGTGAAGACTTAGCATTAAAAACAATTTTGTGTTTCTCTGAAGTTTGTGTTGAAGCCCTTACCCCTAAAGTGATGGCATTTGGAGACAGAGCCTTTGAGAGATAATTAGGGTTAGATGAGGGGCTGATTTGTGATGAGATGAGTGTCCTTATTAGACACAACATTAGAGAGCTTTCTCGCCTCGTGTGCGCTCAAGGGAGCCATCACAGAATACACTCAAAGATGGCAGCTCTCTGCAGTCAGGAAGATGGGCTCCCCGGGAGCCAGCCACACTGATTTCTGATTTCCTAACTCAGAACATGAAAAAATTAATTTCTGTTGGTTGAGCCAACCATTTTATAATGTTGTTTTATGGAAGACCAGCTGACAAAGACATTCTTGGGATAAATGAGAAACACCTGGCATAGAGTAGTTTTGTTTTTTCTTAATGAAAACTAAGGCCAAGGCAGAGAGAAAACATATGAGATGAATATGCCAGCTACTCAACGTAAGTGTTTACAAGCTGATTCTGAGTTTTCTGCATATAAAAAAATGAAAAAGCTAGAAACATACTTTAGAATGTCTTTATGCATTTCCCCCAGTGATCCCAAAATTTAAGTCAACAGAATCCCTATAGCCATATTTAGATTTTTTTTTTCCCATTTGTCTTTTAACTGGATTCCAACACTCCTATGAAGGATTTTCTATCCCACTCAGCAGTTTTACAACACCTTATGTCATAAGTAATTGTGTGCAGTCTTTATTGCTCATTTTCATTTCTTTTGCTTTACTCACAACTCCTTAGTTATTAGTTGCTCTTTCCTTGTAAAATTAATACATTTCTATGAGCCACTTCAAATCCTTTGCTGAAGCTTAATATAAATAACAAAATTGTCTAACACGTCTCTTAGAGGGTAAAGATGAATGCAGCACTTTTCATAGATCATTAAGTGGCTTCCTACAGCCAACTTAGTTTATCTTTTATCAAATGCAATTTCACAATTAAATTGCATTCTAAAATCTTAAGAACTAAGAGTATGTCATGACCTACATCAAATATTATGAAAAGAAATGGAAAGGTAGATGTTAATTTTTCTCAGCAACTCACCCAATCAGTAAGTACTTGCTAGCACTATTTACAATAGCTAACTTTGGAAACAACCCAAATGCCCAAAAATAGATGACTGGATCAAGAAGATGTGGTACATATACGCCATGGAATATTACTCAGCATTCAAAAAAGATAAACACATGCCATTTGCAGCAACATGGATGGAGCTGGAAGGGATCATGCTCAGCAAAATAAGCCAGAAAGAAAAAGAAAAATACCGCATGGTCTCATTCATAGCAGGAATCTAGAAAATCTAAATGAGGGAAACCAAGAAAAAGAATAACTATAGGAAAGAAAAAATCAAAATCAACAAACAACTATGAACCAGAGACACTCTATGGGGGGTGGGGCACAGGGAAAGGAGGGATGGGGGTCAAAATAAGGGGGTTGCAATTGTATGGAGACTATAAAAATAAAATTTAAAAAAATAAGTACTTGCTAAATACCTGACATCTTCAGGTATGAATTATGTAAGTTGTAATCAATAAAAATTATAAAAATTAAGTTTTTTCATAAATAGGAAAACAGACAAGGCAGTTTTTTGATGTCACATTTCAGACTATATGCCCTGACCTCAAGGAATTTGGGGAGCAAAGATTAACATTTTCCCCCATTGAATTTTGATGGAATTCATAAAATTTCTATAATATTTTGCTCCAAGTCAAATAAAAGTCCCACTCTAAAAATATTTAGCATAGCATTACAATATTATAGAATTATTAGTTACAATTAAAATTTCAGTTCTAATTTAAATGAAATAGACTTTCAATTCAACAAACAAGTAGGCTTTAAAAAAATGACAGAATGTCTTCAATCTTTATATCTTAAATCTCATACCTAGTTTTCTTGTTTTGCCAAATATTTTGAATGGCTGTGTAGTACTCTAAATTAGATTATTAGGTTTATATACACCAGGTTGGATATTTCTAAGTCTTTCAGTTTTCAGTTTCTGTTAACTTATGGTTCTATTTCCTGTAGTGTTCAACAATCCTCCACTGAACACTTTTCTGTGGACCAACTTATTTTGGTCTTCAAGACACTTATAAAAGTAGGGTTCTTGCAGCATAGACAGAGAAAGTTTTAGTGGCAATTTGAAGATTATTCAAATAAGCATAAGAACTGCGCAAAAAAGATCATGACTTTTTTTTTCATGAACAGACCTGTTTTTCATCTGTCAAGGAACTGATATAAATTAGGGGAAAATAAAGGAGAAAAGTGCTAATGAAATCTCTATTTCCATGCAATACATCACTTTAGTTTAAATTTCCAGGAGAAGAACAAGGCTAGAGTTGGAGGCATATATCACGAGGCAAATAAAAGCACAGATAGAAAAGATGTCAGTGTCATTCTTGGGTGACCAAATTAAGGCCTAGGTCCCTGGGGCTAAGCTGGATTAATTAATTATCCATGAGTTCTAAGAACATGTTTCTAAAATTTCTAAAAAGTGAGTTTAAATTGTGCCTTCTGGAAGCCTGGTGTGTAGGGGGAGTAACAGTTTGTGAATAACCCAGCATTTGTTGCAAAGACATATGATCATTTAAAATGTTATTCCTTGATAAAAGCCAAGAGCAAAATACCAGAAATTAGCAAAATCATTTGTGAAAACACAAGTTTAATGCAGACTACACTGGTATTTACACACTGACTTGAATTTGGTTGGTGCTATGGATTGAATGTTTGTGCCCCCTAAAATTCATACATTGAGTGTATAATGTCCAATATGATGGGACTGGAGTGGGGTCTGTGTAAGATGCACAGGTGGAGAGGGTCACCGTCATGAATAGAATTTTGTTCTTATAAAAGAAACTTCACAGAACTCTGTAGCCTCTTCCTCCAAGTGAGGATAAAGCAAGAAATCTGCAACCTCAGCTGACATATCACACCTTAATATTGGACTCCTAACCTCGAGAACTGTGAGCAATTAATTTGTGCTGTTTATAAGCCACCCACTGTGTAGCAGCCAGAATAGACTAACACAGCTGAATGACCAATCTGAAAGTTAGCTTTTTCAGATATAATATTGTGAACATCAGATTTTTTTTAATTGGTTGCTTTATAATCATTGGTTCAAAACTGAGACCTCCAGGGCCTCCCCAGTGGCGCAGCGGTTGAGCGCTGGGTTGCGAAGCTGCCCGCAGCCTCTGAAGCGCCGGTTCGATCCCCGGCTGCTCCCCAGCCACCGGAGGAGGGTCCCACATGGCGCGCAGACCTCTCCTGCCGCCCGCTGCTCCCCTCAGCAGTGTACCTCGGTCCTTCTGCCTGCTCTGCTCCCCGCTCTGGCTCTGGTGAATTCTCTCACCCTCCCGCGCTTCTGACTGTACCCAGTGCATGTATAAACAAACAAACAAACAAATAAATAAATAAATAAATAAATAAATAACATGCCTCTATTTAAAAAAAAAAAAAAAAACTGAGATCTCCAGTAAAAGTCTACCTCGATCATTGCTTATGAGAAAATGATAGAAGGTCTAAATAATGATAACACTTGCAGACACTATGTGCCAAGACTCTTTCAAGTCCACCCCGTATATTAACTCAAACAACTAATAACAAACTAAAGAAGTGCTAGTATTATTCTCTCTTTGTGAAGAGGTTCATGTACCTTTCCGTTCTCATGCAGCACCAATGGTGAAGTCAACCTTCAAATACATGCCTGACTCCACATCCGATGCCATTAACGACTGAGGTATATTCTTCCTGAAAGAGAGATCGCATGATTTAAATAAACAGACAGACTTGACAACATGTTACATAGGTTTAAATCTATTTTGTGTACGAGATTTTTACAATTATTACAACTAATGTACAAATTAAATACAAACAAAACAATGATGCAATATAAATTTACATCATTACAAAAATAATGACATTATTTTGCTAAACCTAGAAATTAAAGTTGGCTCTAACAGTATAATGATGTACTAAGTCAACTTTTATATTACACCAGTCTCCAAATTAGCCTGTAATAGTACTAATAGTACTACTAGTACTAATTGTGACTATTTGGATGACTGTGTTCTAAAAATTAGATCATGTGTTTATTTTTTAGATCAATTAGTGTTCTTTGTAAAGTATAAAACAAAGCACCAGATTAAGAAATGCCATTTCAGTCAGTATTTTTAGCTTGCAAATGTTTATGTGCGGGGCATTACACATAATACACATACATAAGATACAATGTTCTGTACAAATAAAAATTTCAAAGGGAGAGATATATGCAGCTTATGTATGTTCATCGCAGTAAGATTCACAATTTCATTATACACAGAAAAGCAAAGGACAAGGGAAAGGAATCAGTTTACACTCATGTGAGGGGCAGATGTCTAACAGAATCAAGCTCTGGGAAAGAGGAAGGAATGGAGTAGTGGATAGCTGGGGTAAACAACGTTTTCACTATGGTATAGAAAACAACTATGAAAATCAGGAGAAAAACAGGTCCTCGTTGTCTAAAGACATGTTATTGAAATGCTGTAGCCTTCCATCCGTTGACAAGGATGGGATCTGACAAATATTTTCTCTCACGACATGAATATGTCCTTCCTGCCAATGCAGATTTTGGTCTGTTGTTTTTAATTTGGCATGCCTTTACTACAAAGAATGAGTAGGATAGTTCCCTCACTACTGGTCTCTATTTGACCTCCCTTTGAAAATTTTATTTGTACAGAACATTGCAAAATCAGTTAGTCTTAACATGGAGAAACCACATTTGTATAAGTAAATGCAAGTCAATGGTATGGCAGCGTTAGGCTATAAAATAGTCCTGATGATCCATGATATGCTTGAAATATATTTCTAAAATTTTCATAATTTAAAAATGTAAAATTTCTCACAGAACATTCTTGTACCTGCTAAATAGAATATTTTCCAAATCTTCCAAAGACAGTCTGAAAAATAAGTTATGATGAGAGACATGTAAGACAAGTAAGATTGTTATGGCAGAGGCAACAATCAGAAGGAATGTTGACTAAACAGAGGGTGCTCACTTATTGGTAGAAAAATGAGTGAGGACAAATTGAAAGATCCGGGGGAGAAGAGGGGGTGGGAAATCAAGACAAATAAACTTCCTGGTTTTGCACATCAAAATGGTAGTAGGACTAAATAGTTGTTTTGCCTGTGATGATATATATAGACCATGTATACAGATGTGTGCTGGAATTTCTTCTCTCCAGCACTGTATTGCTCTGGAGTGATATATGCAGCTTATATATGTTCATCACAATATTATTTACAATAGCCAAGGTTGGAAACAACCTCAGTGCCCGCAGCAGATACTTAGATAAAGATGTGGTTTATATACACAATGAAATACTGCTCAACTATAAAAAAAGATGAATTCTTGCTATTTGTGACAACATGAATGGAACTTGAGGGGATCGTGCTAAGTGAAATAAGAAAGCAAAAGACAAAGACCACTCCGATGTGTTGTGACTCATACATGGAATCTATTTTAAAAAATTTAAAGGGCCTCCCTGGTGGCGCAGGCGGTTGTGTGCAGTGCTGCGAAGCTGTCCGCAGCCTCTGCAGTGCTGGTTCAATCCCCGCCGGCCTCGGAGCAACCCACATGGGAAGCAGACCTCTCCTGTCTTGACCACTTCTCCCCTCAGCAGTGTATTTTGTAAGTCTGCCTGTTCTGTTCCCCGCTCTGTCTCTGGTGAATCTTCTCACCCTCTCACGCATCTAGCCTGTACCCCAGCTCTTGTATAAATAAAATAAATCTTTAAAAATAAATAAAAATAAATAAAAAAATTTAAAAACCCAAGCCATTAGACTCTGATGACAAAATGGGGGTTGCCAGTATGAGAGGGGAAGGATAGGAGGACTGGTAGAGGGGGTCAAGTGCATAGTGGTGTATGGTAACTAGACCCTAAAGGTGATAGTGGTGTGGTACGTCAAGGCATGAAGCCATACTCCTGAAACATAGAATGGTGTACTTAGTATTATAGGCCAATGGTACCTAAATTAAAAAGGAAGAAAAAATTGTTGCTTCAGGAGCACTATATGAAATCAAAACAATACAGAAAAGGTCAGCATGGCTCTTGCACAAGGAAGACCTGCAAATCCATAAAGTGTTTCATATTTTTTAAAAAGAAGGAAGGAACACACCTAGCCCTCAATTTCAGTTCATGGTTGAGTACTTCCCAGCTGGATAACTGCAAGAGGTACAGGAATAAATGAGACAGTGGCAGTCACCTCCCACCTCAGTCCTGTGCCTTCAGCCTTCCCAGCTTCTGAGTGCTGGTCCAGCAATCACTGCCTGTGTGTCAGCGTGGCCGACTGAGAACACGCTGTCAACATAAACTTGTGCCTCATTGCTCTGAAATTAGACTAAGGATTAAAGTGCTTTCAACATGAGAGGTTTAAACTAAAAATCATGCTCTAAATATAAAGGGCTGGACCTTTAGTTGCCTGATGTCCCCTGAGAGTTGGGACATCCATTTTACAAGCAGCAGAGAACCAGGAACGTGAACTGAAAGTGATACAAGGCAGCAAGGGGCACTAAAACTGGCCAAGGAAACTGCCCAGATAGTTTACCAGCCACTATCTAAGTTCTTTACCCGCCTGCACAATTGCAAGACTCCTCAGGCTCAGGGAACAAAAACAGTGGGATTTATTTAACAAACCAGGGAAAAACAAAGAGTTTTTGAGGCTAAAAGTGGCCTTTACTCACCCGAAGCAGTGTCCAGTGTTTTCCAGTCATAAACAAAAGCAGCTAAAATGGTAGCTTTCCGCCACTAAGGACATGGAGATCCTCTCCTGAATAGGCTGCGCGTCCAACATGGTGTCTTCCTGCCTCTGCCCACCTGGAGCACAGGGCAGCCAGACTTAGGCCAGGTTCCGACTCACAAAGACAGCAGTAAGACACAACAGGAGACACTCCTGGAGCTGCCAGGATGCCCCAGCGCAGCACCCAACAAACCACACACAGAACAGCAGCTGCAAGGGCCGAAAGACCCAACAAACGGCCCCACTCACGCAGCTCAGGGAGGCACCTGGCTCCAGGTCTTCGCCTTCTTGGAGAGGCTGCAACAACAGCAAAACCAGAAACAGTTTCCCCTGAGATAATTGCAAAGCCTCTGAACTTTTCCTTTCTGAGATTGGCTGCTGGATGCCTTCAGTTTCAGAGGCCCGAAACAGCCCTTGAGAAGATCAGCGTGTTGGGGGCCAACCCCAAATGCTGAAGATCCAAAAACCTTGAATCCCAAATCTGAATGAATCCACGCCCACTTCTGTGGTCCCTTATTTGTCTTATCCTTGCCTCACCTTAAAATGCCATACTTTTTAGCATTTCCCTTGGGGCTATCTATTCTCACCAGCTGCCCCCTTCGGGGGCACCACCTGTAACACTCCTTTGTCTTCAACCACCAGTTACAAAAAGGCTCATCCAAGGGGTTAAGCACCGCACTATGAGGCAATCTGCAGCCACTGCAGCATGAGTTTGATCTTGATCCCCGGCAGCATGAGTTCGATCCCCAGCTGGCCAGGGAGCAACCCAAATGGCGAAGCAGACCTCTCCTGTCTTGTCCGCTGTTCTCCGCAACAGTGTATTTCAGTCAGTCTGCTGTTTTGTTCCCCACTCTGTCTCTGGTGAATCCTTTCACCCACCCCCCTCATCTCTGGCCTGTACACCAGCTCTTGTATGCATAAATAAATAAATCTTTTTGAAAAAAAATGCTCATCCCAAATGGCTCCTCTGCAGCTACACTGGTCTAATCAGTGAAGGAAGCTGTACAATTGAATTACAACTGGATAAATTTTGCTAGTAAATGTATAAAATGTGACTGGAGTCTTACATTCTGAAGGTGATACTTTATGGTGACTTTTATTTTTATCACCAGGAACCCAGGGCAGTGACTTGTGATCAGCCTGGCAGGAGTGTCAGAAATCCTTCCAGGAACATTTCTCATATCCTTGATGAAATATTGTATTTTCTATAAATCATGGTACCTCCTTGTCAGATATGAAGCAATGGCTTGGCAACAAACTCATGGATTTATGAGTACGCATGCAAAAAAGGGGGAAGGACAGTGTGCTCTTTGTGAGTGGGAAATAAGTCAGTGAGCATTTATGCAATGACTGTGTGAGAGCAATTAACCATCTGGGAAATGTACTAAGGTTACTTAACCAAGGCCTACCATTAGAGCTAATGTAAGACCCCTGGGGCTTCAGTCACTCAAAAATATATCTAATAAAGAACAAGGTGGTCAAGATTTACTTGCTGCTTCATCCCCATTTTAATGAATTGAAAAGGATTTGCGACCCCTGTACCTCTCAGTTCTGATATGTGCCTCTAATGGGAATTCACACAGCTTAATTACTACTTACCTTGTTGAAAATATAATGCTGCAAAGTCCCTGGCAGCAGCCTTAGTCATGAATATTGGGACTGCTGTTGCCTGGGGCAATTAGAGGCGGTGCAAGTTCTTTGCAACAGGTGGTGCTGTTTTGTTCCCCTGTGCAGAAAAGGAGAGTCTGCTCACAGTAACATGCTTGTGAGTAGCAGGCAGCTCTCCGAATGTCTTTGGATTTATTTTTTAGTCTCCAAAAATATTAAGTTTGCTATTTTCCAAGTGAACTGGGTGGATTTTATTGCTTTGGTCAGTTTAAATTTTGAAATGTAATATGTTGAGGCTATAGTTTAATGTTCTTGTTTTAAATACTTGAAAGACAGACTGAGGCCTAAAATCTCATGTGTTGGCAATAAACCAGTACTGTAAAATTACATTAAGAGGAAGCACAGATTTTTTTATGGGTATATGTAAGTTCAAACATAAAATAAATCCTATTACACATTTAAGCTCTATATTGGGATAATAAATAAAATCTACTAATACTAATATCATTCTTGTCACTATGATATTTATGAAATAATATTTCAAAAATTATATTCATAATATTATGAATTTATTCATGAAATAACTCATTACAGGAACAGACTTACAGGTGCAGAGATATATTCTGATACACAAAAAACTCAGAGCACCATTTAATTTTGCCAATAAGACGTATGCTTCTTTTGAAAATAGCTTTTGAAATATGTACCCATTAAACAAATTATTTGTGTTGATCGGGTGTATTTTGTAAGCTGGAGTTTTGAAAAAAATAGATAAATCTATGTAGTTTCAAAGAAGGGAACAAAATCAAGTAGCAAATGAGCAAGTTGGTAAAATCACAGTTCAGAGGAGCTAATGGTGTCTGCCTTGGAGTCTGTCTAGTTTACACATCAGCCATGTGACTTTGGAGAATTTCCATAAAATCTCCAAGTCTCAATTTTTTTATCTTTAAAACTAGGTTAAAAGTTTACTTACATTTGGGCCTCCCTGGTGGCACAAGGGGTTAAGATGCAACCTATGAAGCTATCCACAGCCACTGCAGCACAAGTTCAATTCCTGGCTGGCCGGGGAGCTACCCACATGGCAGACCAATCCTGTCTCTCCCACTGCTCCCCTCAGCAGTGTATTTCAGTAGATCTGCCTGTTCTCCCCACTCTATCTCTGGTGAATCCTCTCACCCTCCACATCTCTGGCCTGTACCTCAGTTCTTGTAAGCATAAATAAATCTTTAAAAAAAATAAAAGTTTACCTATGTTTTTATGAAGAATGTAGCATGGAAATTTCCATGTAGCATATTTTTTTCATAATTGCTACCCACTAGATTTATTCAGTCAACATTAATTTACCAAATATTTATTGAGGTCTATTATCTGCCAGTCATTATGACTAAGTATTTAGGAATAAACTGGTGAACAAAAGCTAACAGAGTCTTTATTTAAAAAAGCAAACAGGGCTTCCCCAGTGGCACAGGGGTTAAGTCTCAGTGCTATCACCACTAAGGCATGAGCTTGATCCCCAGCCAGGGAGCAATCCACATGGCGCAGCAGATCTCTCCTGACTCGCCCACTGCTCCCCTCAGCTGTGTATTTCAGTCAATCCGCCTGTTCTGCTCCCCACTCTGTTTCTGGTGAATCCTCTCACACACACCCCCACATACCTCTGACCTACACCCCAGTTCTTCTATGCATAAATAAATAAATCTTTAAAAAAAATAAATAAAAATAAAATATAAACAGCCAAAGCGAGCATAATGCTAACACTATGCTGGAGAGTCTGGTCTAATGGGGACATATTCAATCAGATAATCCCACTGAAAAATTTAAAATTGTAACTATGAAAGGTACATGACACTGTGAAAGTAATAAATGAAATAAAGAAGAGGTAAGATTTCTTTGAAAAAGTGATGAGTCAACTGAGATATGAAGGAAAAGTAGGAAATGAGAAGGATTTTCCAAGAAGCCCTGCACGATGATGGCACATTGTTCATCAGAGGAACTGAAAAAAGGCATAGAACATCAAAGGTGAAGGAGGAACAAGGAGTTGAGGTGAGGTTGTCTTAGGAAGTGTTCTTTTATTCCCAAAAATCTTGCAGAGTTTTCAGTAGACAGGGAATCTGAACAAACAGGCATTCAAGATCAGCCCAGCTGCCATGATAAGAATGGATCCATGAGCAGCAACAGTGGACGTAGATGAGCAAATTAAGAAGTCAATTTAGTGGCCTAGGGAAGAGGCATTGGCAATTTGAACTAGGGTAGCAGTGGAAATGGGAGAGAAATGGGTGGATCGAGTTAAAATTACAGGACTTAGAGTTCAATTGAATATGAGCTTAATTGCTAATGCATTGTGATGTTATAAATAAATTCCTGTCCCTGCACTCTCCTTTCCTGGAAGTCTAATTCTACCTTCTGCCTTATTTTCAGCCCCTTACAACTATTCCCTATCCTCACTCTCAACTGATAACCTTGTTCCTGAGGCACTAAGGAAAGGGGAGCAATCAGAAGGTAAGTTCTGGACTCCCTGAACTGCACCTTCCTGTTCTTCTGCTAGTCCATGAAACCGGTGTCTTGTCTTCCTGCTGCTAGTGTTTCTGCACCACCCCAGCATCCGTCTCAAGCTAGTGCTTCACAGGTGCACATTCCCGTATCCTCTTGGCTCCTGTTTTCTCTTTTATCATCTCTTTATCTTTCCTGGATCATTCTCATTAACATATAAAGATGCTCCCCCCACCCCTTCTTTAGAAAAAAAAAAAAGATTCTTGACCTTATTTTATCCCCTAGCTGCTTCTCCATATGCTTTTTGGCTTGATTTTAAGCAACATTCCTCAAAAGATTTATTTGTACTTTTTTCCTCCAACCCCCTTACTATTCTCTGTTTAAACCTACGCCCGCAACCAGACCTACATCATTTCCACCAAAGCTATAAATTGCATACCCACAAGGCTTAGTCATGTGTATATAGTAGGTCTAAGAAACATGGCTCTGAAGAAATGAAAAGTGTTAGTCACAGACTTGCCATGTAACTAATTGTTGATTCATCCTAGCAGCCTAACCTTTCCTACAAATGCACATATTGATCTTCTAGCTGAGATGTTTTCAGAGGGCTATGTTGCAGATAAGCACTAACATGAAAGTTTATCAACTATTCTGTCCCTTCTTTGCTGACTTTGCTGACCTCTCTATAATTTACAGCTATCTCAAAAAAATAAAGCTTGATTTTTCAACTATATAGTATTTAAGAGTTATATGTGAAATGGCCATACATGTTCTTGTTCTTCTTTTTATAGGATGATTGCAAATATAAAAGTAAAAACAATGTCACTATTGACCACCAGCAGAATTTAGGACATATCCAGAGAAAAGAAAAGAATGTTTCTTAGAACAACTGACTTCCTGTAACTGTTCGTCTCAATCCGAGTGTGTCTCATACTGAAACAGATGAAGACAGAAAACAGTACAGTACATGAAGTGAAATGAACAAAGATTTATTATAACTTGATAGGCTTTGAGATCAGTTACAAATGTCACATAAATAAATGGGCTGAAAGAGTGTACT